CATCCGACCTAGACCGCCATTTTGTAATCCATGTCATGTAAAACAAATTGGATTCACAAAAATTAAATATATTTCAAAACTGAATAATAATTAGTACTTACTGAAACAATATTTATTTATATTTTGAGTTTTGTAACAAACCAAAATATCTATAAAAATCAGTTTAGCATGAGAAAATCAAATTTTCGAAAACAGACCTGCAACCATTCGCTAAAAAGTCAATACTGTTCAAAAATACCGCGTCGATAGCAGACTCATGTCACCGAACAATCTCATGCTGACAAACGGCTAGGCGAATTGGATATAAGGAAGGGGGTGAAAATAAATTGTACCACTGTAGGACTTGTCTTACTGTTGGTCATTCTCTCCTAGCTTGTTCAACTTGGTTAAGGTAAGAAAAATTTGATGAATGGAACAAATTCTCAGGGAAAAAATACGTAACCTCTCAATTAATTACCCAATAAAACATCGAGTGCAAGAATGGACTACTTACAACTTCTTGTAATCTATAAGATACTAAGGTAGAACGATACATAAGATTTCTTTCGATTTTTGGATTCAAAAAAAACGACAATTATTTTAATCTCATTTTTGTTTTTAGGGCATTTTCTATCAGTGTGTCAAAGCTCTTCAAAAAATCCTTTTTTTTTGTTTTGTCATGTTTTTCTATAATATAATGATATTGGTCGAATAATAAGTGGAATAATTTCTAATAAACTTCATATATTTAAACTATGTAAAAACGAAACGCTGGTTTTAATAATCACATTTTAATCACATTTGAAAGATGTGACCCATAATAATTTTCATCGATAATGAACATTCATTAGTTTTCATTAACAATAATGGTATAATGCATACCAAATTATCATTATTTTTGGTTGAAAACTGTTTGTGGCGTTTCTATTTAGTGGTATTAAATTTGGACGAAAATCATATGTTTTATGAAATATTAAAATCTACCCAAATGCATTACACACTTTGATAATTTAAATATTTTATTAATTACAATACCTATGTGGTTTAAAACACAATAAACAATTTTTAAAGAAAAAAAAATATTCAAAAAATCCTTTACAAATGGTATCGTATAATTGTTAAAAAAAACCAAAAACACCCCTTCAGGCTATATCACAGAATATTTTTGGACTAACAAGTCCATCATCAGTGTTGTTATCTGTTACTACTTTATTGAAGACAAACGTCAAGGTTAAATTTTGACTAAGGTTAAGGCAAATGTGGTGAAGTGCTTAAAATGTGTACCACGAATGAAGCCACTATATGTGGCTTTATTATATCTTGCTTTATAGCTGCATAGTAAACAAGTTACCTGCTGACTAGGACTGCACAAGGAATACTCGACGATGGCCAATGGTAAACGAGGTTCATCTACCATAAAGGCAGTTTTTGCACAATTAGCATTCACTCTGATCAAACCGCAGCTTAATGTAGGTGCTTGCCCTTGTACACGCCCAGTCCTAACATATGGTTCAGAGACCTGAACTAACAAAAAATATTGAAAATATGGTAGGATATTTCGAAAACATTACCAAGCTTCCAAAAAAAGAGGCAAAGGAAATAACCTTGCTTACTGTCATAAATAAAAATTTTCACGACCATCATACTGAAAAGATTAACAAACAAGGTTGAGTTTCGAGCTAATCTAGCAGGCTTTAGACCAGAATCCTCCTGCATAGACCACATTAATACTGTGAGGGCAATAATGGAACAATCGGTCTGAGTGGAACACACCCCTATACATGGTTTTTGTTGATTTTGAACGTGCCTTTGACAGCTTGTCTCATGCTGCTACATGGAAAAGTTTAGAGCTAAGAAATATCCCGCAAAAATAATTTCTATTATAAAGTCAATATATACTGATGCGAAATGCAGCGTGACACACAATGGGATCACCAGTGACGAATTCGACGTACTTACTGGAGTTATATAAGGGATGCGTGCTTTCTCCGTTTCCTTTTTCACATAGCTATAGATGTTTCCTCCAAACTAGACTCCGACACAAGAGGATACAATGGACGTTAACCACACGCCTAAGCGATCTAGAATACGCGGACGATATCTGCCTATTAGGTCAGAGGTTCCAAGATCTGGCTTACCAATTGGAAACACTTTCCACTGAAGCCAAAAAAAATAGGTTTGAAAATCAATATTAGTAAAACCAAGCCAATAAAGCTCCTGGCCGGGTGATTTACCTATCGAGTTATTCAAACATTGCCACTGCATAACATTAGAATTGCTTTGTAAAATGTTTAAAACAAGTGCCTACAAGGAGAAAGTATCCCAAGAGATTGGAAAGTCTCGTACATAAACTCCATCTACAAAAAGGGAAACAGGAATGACTGCAGTAATTACCGAGGTATCAGCATTACGTCATCCACTGGCAAACTGTATGAAAGAGTTCTGAAAGCCAGAATAGAAAAAGAAGCCACAGAGATCGAAGAACAAAGTGGATTCCGACCAGGGAGATCTTGTGTCGACAATGTATTTACTATCAAACCACCTAACGGAAAAGATGATTAGCAAGAGGACTAGAACTTCATGCCACTTTATAGATCTCCGTAAATCGTTTGACTCCGTACCACTGCAGAGACTATGGACAACATTGGAAAACGCAGGTATAAATCAGTATATATAAATGCCGTGAAAAAGCTATATCAAGATAACCAAGCTTATATTAAGGTTGGAAACCAAAATTTCCAAGGGTTTCACCCAAACAAAGGGTGTCAAACAGGGCTCTTGCCTCTCTCCAACCCTGTTTAAAATATATCTTGGTAATGCTTTAAAACATTGGATGAGAAATATGCAGCCAATGGCATATGGGTAAATGACACTCCTATATACACAATCCTCTTCGCAGACGACCAGGTAGTTCTTGCCGAGGACCTACAAGATATGACGTACATGATAAACAAACTAATAGACGAATTCAAAAAATGGGATTAAGGGTTAATACCGAAGAGACACAATACATGAATATAGTAGGCATCGGTCAAGACATGGAAACAGAAAGCGGATTAATTAAAAACGTTGATCAGTACGAATATCTCGGAGTTACACTAAGCGAAGACGGGAGAGACGACAAAGATATAACAAGAAAAATAGAAAAGGGAAAAAACATGATAAAAACACTACATCCGATCCTGTGGAATAAAACTTTAACTAAGAAAACAAAGAAAAATATATATCAGGCTATGATTCAGCCGGTTCTGACGTATGGGTCAGAAGTGTGGTCTTTAACAATAATATGTCACAAAAACTCCTCTCAACGGAAATGATGTACTGGAGAAGATGTTCCGGGTTAACTTTGTTGTGACCACATAAGAAAATGAAAACATAAGAGAGAGAATGAAAGTAAAGAACACAATAATGGATACGATAGCCGAAAAACAATTAAAATGGTATGACACCTGAGACGGATGAACGAAGAAAGGATACCACGAAAGGTTTGGAACTGAAGACCTACACAGAGAAATAAAAGGGGAAGGCCAAGAAAGAAATGGATATCCAATATTCATATAGAAATGGAAAATAGAGGTCTTCAAGAAGGAGACTGGGCCGATAAGAAATTATGGCGATTGGGATGCGAGGAAGCGACAAAATTAAAGTTGCAAACACTCGCGATATATAAAAAAAAGTAAACCAAGTCCATGAGAATAAATGCAAGGAACAACAACGCTATTTACTATCGACAATCTGCAGATTGAAAATATGGAAAACTTTAACGTATCTTGGAAGTGTCATAACAGAAAACAGAGGTATAGAAGACGATATTCGTATAGGATACAAAAAGCCCAACAAGCTTTCAGTCACGCTTAACCCTGGTTGGAGACTGGCGAGTACACTACAAGACAAAGATCCGAATATTCCGATCAAATGTCATGTCTGTTCTACTCTACAGATGTGAAACCAGGAAAGTGACTAACACCCTCACAGACACACTGCAGGTCTTTGTTAACAAATAATGTATACGAAGAAATGTTCGTATATTCTAGCCTAACACCATCAGAAACGAAGATCTGCTACACCTGACCGAACAAACAAAAGAGGTACAAAATGAAAATGTCCCTCTTTTGTTCGGTCCATCCAAAAATGAAAGTCCAGAAAGTGGGGAAAGGGAAAAGAAAAAAGAGGTCGCCCAGTACAAATTAGGAGAAGATCCATCATGGACGAGATAAGAAGCCAAGGAAAGTCTTGGAATTAGGTGAAGGCCTTAGCGCACAATAGAACCCGATGGCGCGTTTTCACTGAAGCTCTATGCTCCACTTAGGAGTTCAAGAACCTTATATAGGATAATTCGAAAGAAAAGTACTAAGGCGAATCTATGAAGCAGTAAATAACAATGGAGTGTAGAGAAGACGATACAACTTTAAACTATATAGAATATACCAGGAACCTGATATTGTAAAACAGAATAAAGATAGGACGTCTGATGTGAATAGTACATGTAATGTGGATGGACACAAATATGACCATCTAGAAAAACACTCGTTGATAGACCCATTGGCCAGAGAAGAAGAGGAAGACCCAGATCAAAGTTCCTTGATAATATATTGATGAAGAACTGAGAAATATGGGAATACGTGTTTGGCAAGGAAAGACGATGGATAGTTACGACTGGGGGCAATTCTTGAGGAGGTTATTACCCACTGCTAGTACCATAAATTTAATCCAGTAGGTTTAAAAAAATATATGCGGACATACACTCGCGCCAGCCGTAGTGTCAAGATTATGTCAAGTGTCAGTGTGGAAGGTTAAGGGCTTTTTTTACTAATAATAAAAAAAAATATGAAATATAAGCAATTTTCATTGGAGAAGCATAACAGCATTACCGATGGGTAGAATTACAAGTATAAAACAATTATAGCAATAATATTAAAATTATCACTAAAAATATCACCAAAAATAATTATATCAGGCAGCTGTTTATTGTCTTGATTTAAATAATGATAACAGAAAATGCTCGTGATTTTTATTTTAACATGTCAAACCTGTGCGTTAAAATTAATATTAAAAATCTTAATCCAAGCCTGTGATTATAGATACACTATATGTACAAGAATTTTAATATCTCAGTAACACTCCTGTCACTTGATACGAAAAAAAATACACAATTAAAAATAACCTTTAATGTTTTAGGAGAAACTTAAAAATGTCGTACCAACAAGGACACGGACACCCTCCACAACAGTACCCACCCGGCCAGTATCCTCCACCTCCACAACCTGGCTACGGTCCCCCACCACCACAATGGCAGCAACCTCAACCACAGTATTATCCACCCCCACAGCCACCACCAAAAGAAGAGGACGACTGTTGTAAATGGTGTTGCGGATTAACCTGTTTATCATTGTTATGTTGTTGTTTGTGCAGAGACTAAAGAGTATTTTAAAGTACGTATTTTGTTCAGTGTATTTACTAATTGTTTAACCTTTATTATGTAAGTTTTAATTACGAATTAATTGTGAAGATTTAGTAATATGGTAATAAAAATTGGAGCTTAATATTCTATTACAAAAATGCTGAGAAAGAAAAGATGATTTTGCATCCGTTATTGATTTCAAAAGGCATTCGATTAAGTACAGCATGTAAAATTAATGCAGATACCTAAAAATAAAAAAAAATGATGATAAAGATAATCCTGTCATTAAGAATCTGTAATTGAATTAAACTGCCATTATAAAAATTGAAGCTGGTTACGAAATATTCATAAATCGAGAAATTAGACAAGATTGCATTGTTCCCCAAACTTTTCAAAGTTTACTTGGACTATTTATAAAAAAAAAAACGTGTAAGAGACAACCATACGGGATAAAAATTAACAGGAAATTACTTAATGTAATGATATTATGCGGACGATATAATAATTCTATCAGAAAATATTGAAGTCTCCAAATTCTGCTTTTATTTTGAAGAAAAAATATTGTACTACGTCAAAAATCAAACATTAAGCATGATCTTTAATAAGCTGTTATAATTAAGTATCATCGAATATTGCCGGTATCAGTGCTTTGTGCCTACTTCAGTAAATTTAATTTAATTTGTAATGTATCCATGACACTTACCAAGTTATGGATAAAATAGTAAAAGCACAAAGAGCGATGGAAAGATCAATGCTCGGGGAGAGACTTGTAGACAAAAAACAAACAAATGGATTAGAAGCAAAACGAAAGTAAAAGACGCAGTAGAACATGCTGCCAAATTAAAATGGAGCTTCGCAGGACACAATGCCGGACTGAAGGATAAGAGATGGAACCAAGAAATACAACAATGGAGACCATGGTTAGGAAAGAGAAGCTGAGGAAGATCCCAAATAAGATGAGCAGATGATACTAAGAGGATCGGAGGACACCTCCATTGATGAAGAATACCTGAGCCAAGATTTGCAGACAACTTGACAATAATAAAAAAACCATGTACAAACGAGCTGGTGGATGTCTAAAATGTAATAATAAAAAATACTGTACTTAAAACAATAGACGGAACAATAATCAATATAATCTCCCAGAAATGAACAAAAGAATAAAATTGGCTTAAGCATCTTTTGATATTCTTCTTCTTCTTGTACTGCCTATTAGCTTCGGATGTTGGAGACCATCATGGCAATCTGTATTTTGCAAACTGCGACTCTGAAAAGATTTGTGCTTGTTGTATTGAATCACGTACGTAAATTTTTTAGCCAGGAAATTCTGCTTCTTTTGGTCCCCGTTTTCCTTCTACTTTTATAGATAGATCTTATTCCCTGCAGAAGTCGGTATTTATCATTACGCATGATGTGGCCGAAGTAAGCCAATTTTCTGTTTTTTTCTGGTGGTAATATTTACTTGTCTTCTTTTAGCCTCTGGAAAATACTTATGTTTCTTTTGTGGTGTATATATGAGATTGTCAACATACGTCGGTACCACCACATTTTCAAATGTCTCCAATCGACCTATGGCATTTTCTGTAAGGCTTCAGCATTCTACTCCATAGAGGAGGACAATAAAGACGTAACATATAAGAATTCTTATGCGTACATATAAGTTGCAGATAATCTTTAGAGTTTAGAGCTTTAAAGATCTGCAGAGTTTTTATATTCGTAGCTGTGATCTCAAGTATCCTTAATATTGCCGCCCAAATAACATATTTTTTCCACACTTTCTAACGGTGTATCGTAAATTGTAATTTGGGCGTTTATGCCAGTGTTCTTACTAATGATCATTATTTTTATCTTCGTGCAATTTAGTTGTAGGCCGTATTTTCTTCTACAACCTTATCCCATCATCCTTTGGAGCCCCTGCGCACTACCTGCCAGCAACACTGTATCCTCTGCATATCTAATGTTGTTTATAAGTTGGCTATTTACAGCAATCCCATCATCTGATTCGTCCAAAGCCTCTCTAAAGATGTTTTCAGATGTTAAATAATGCCGGTGACAATATGCAAACCTTTTTAACTCATTTTTCGACTGTGAAGATCTCGGACAGTTCATTTTCTAATCGTACTGTTGATTTTTGTTGGAGATATAAGTTTAAGGTCAGTCTTATATCCTTGCCATCAAGTCCTGATGTTTTTAGGATATCGATTAGCTTCCCATGTGGAAATTTATCAAATGCCTTTTCGAAGTCAATGAAACATGCATACACATCGCAGTTGACATCCCTGGCTCTTAGAACTTGCAAACTAAAAAGTGCTTTCCTCGTATCGAGTTCTGCTCTGAATCCAAATTCACTCAGGTGTTCTTTAAGTACATGGCTCATCACCAATAAAATTGAGATCAAGAAAGGGGTACGACAGGGCTGTATGTTGTCTCCTATTCTCTTTAAGATATACTCAGAAGAAGTATTTAAGACAGCGCTGGAGGAAAGCACAGAAGGCATAATTGTCTTATGAGTAAGATATAAAAAACAAGTGCACAATACGGACTCAGACTAAATATCACAAAAACCAAATGGATGTCAGTAAGCAAAACCCAACAACCACCACAGCAACTGATGTGGATTCGTACATCTACTTGGGAACAACAGTTAACTCAAATTGGGATCAAGCGAAGGAAATACGTATAAGAGTAGAAAAGGCAAGAGCATCGTTCACTAGCATGAAGCAAATTTTCACCCCTAAAAGCCTCAACCTACCTCTCAAAATTCGACTTCTGAAATGTTATGTATTCCCGGTTTTGTTATATGGAATGGAGGCGTAGACAATGACGGCAACATTAATGAAAAAAGTAGAGGCCTTCGAAATGTGGGCTTACCGACGTATATTACGTATATCCTGGACTGAGCACGTGACCAATGAAGAGGTACTACGCCGGATAGGTAAAGATAGAGAGGTAGGAATAAGTATAAAGAAAAGAAAGTTGGAATACTTGGGTCACGTTATGAGACATAATAAATATAGAGTACTCCAGCTGATCGTTCAAGGGAAATAGACAGCAGAAGGGTCCAGGGAGGAGAAGACACTCGTGGCTCCAAACTTGCGGCAATGGTTCGGATTGTCATCTGCTGAACTATTCAGATCTGCCGTAAACAAAGTCAGAATAGCCATGTTGATTGCCAACGTTCGGAACAGACAAGGCACATGAAGAAGAAGAAGATGGCTCATCAAACTAATTAATCTATGTTCTTCATATTTTCTAGCGTTGGCTTTTTTAGGAAGTGAAATGAATATTGATAGTAGCTGGTCTTTTAGTAAGTAACCAGTCTCGTAGATGTTGTTGAATAGCTTCGTAAGATCTGTAATTTGGTGTGCCTCTAATGGCTTTAAAATTCCACCATGCACCTTATCAGCTCCTGGTGATTTCCATCTTTAATCCGCTTAATGGCCATATTACTTCTTCGTTTGTTATTTCTGGACCGTAGGGATTGTTTATTTCAGTCGGACTTCGTGCTGCATCTTCGAATAATTCTTGCATATATTCTTTCCATCTTCGTAATTTATCTTCAATGGTAGAGAATAGATACTCAACTAGAAATGCACCGTGGTATCCAAGAGGCATCAAGAGACCAAGACGTACAAATTTAAGATGTGGCTATGACATAAGGAAACAAGCCCGTACAACATGGCACAGAAAAGCAAATATTAGACAATTGTGGGCACAAATGAAGAATGACTATTTAATTAATGCTGCACCATAATCGATAGACAACGCTAAGAATAAATATATATTAGAATTTCAGCATTTGCTATTATATTATAAGTTCCTCTGATCACTCCCTTGATTGAATTTAGATTTGTGTAATTTTTTCCTTGTGGCTGATGATGGAATTATCAAAAAACAGAAAGAACTGGATGTGATAAACAATAAAAAAAATCAGAACTAGTCCTCAACGCCGCTGAAGGGTGTAAGTTTAAGAAAACAGAAGAAGTAAATATTAGAAAACATTAATTTTAAACGTTTTGTTTTTAAACTGAGTATTAAGCTCTTTGTGAAATCTATCAATTTAAGATTTATTTTATCTAGCTATCAAATAAATAATGTATTAGGACTTTAGATTACTAAAAAACTTATTACCAAGTAGTATACAATTTCAAGGTCAAAAATTATTCGTAATAGTCGACAGATATATCTTTTCTCAGTACGAAATAACCTCCAATAACACTTAAGAATTTTTCTTGCGTCATAATAAAAAAATTAATCTACCGATCTATCAAGATAAAACAAACATATTGTAAATTTTTATCTTTATTATATTTATTTTTATCTTTATTATATTCAAATGTTTTGCACGGAGACCTTCATTGTTTTGTCGATAAAAGAATACAAGCAATATTGAACAGGAAATTGTCTCATATGAATTAGTTAGTGTTTTTCTGGGAATTTTCGCCATGCAATTTGTTACTGTATAGCCTTATAATTTGTAGAATTATATCGGGAAATGGATAATTTTCAACTATCAAATCGGTTAAGGATTAGGTTCAAAGATTTTTTTGTTTAAGGGATCAATATAACATCAACCACAAAATTGAACGCTTTGCTTATTACCAAAAATTGACAACCGATATGTAATTAATTATTAACCCTTAACAAGTATGGTGAAAAAAGCAAAGGTTTAAAAGTATGACTGTCTCAAATTAGACGTTTAAATAAAACAAAAATATATGTACCACAGTGAAATAACCACTATATTGCTAATAATAAAGCTATAAAAAGCAACATGTATTACTATGGTTGTTTCAGGAACAAAATATACAGGGTCAATAAAAATCAAGGTTGTTTTCATTTGCCTTCTCAATAATCTGGTCAATAATATTGTTTCATAAAGTAACAGCTTGACGGCTTCAGCAGACATTGCCGGCTTTTGTATTCGTGCTGACATATAAAGCTCTGGTAGTAGTC